GAAAGACCATTAATGCTGTCTATTACTGTGAACTTTTGGAAAAACTGAAGAAAGAAATCGAAGAAAAGAGGCCACACTTGAAGAAGAAAAAGGTTCTGTTCCACCATGATAATGCACCTGCACATTCCACCAGAATCACTGAACAAAAGATAAATGGACTTCGATTCCAATTAGTTCCATATCCATCGTACTCACCTGATTTGGCCCCCAGTGACTTCCACCTTTTTCCAAACCTAAAAAAATTCTTGGCTGGAAAGAGATTCCACTCAAATGACAAAGTCATCTCTGAAGTGAACGAGTATTTTGCACACCTTGACAAATCAACCTATTGTGATGGCATAAAAAAGCTAGAACATCACTGGAATAAGTGCATTGCTAACAAAGGAGACTACATTGAAAAATAAAAAGTTTTAACATTATTTTGTTTCTTGTTCTATTTGAGGCTGTGAACTTTCCGAACAGCCCTCGTAAGATAGCTTATAGAAAGGTGTTAATAAAGTATTAAGATGCTTAATTTTTAAAATTTTGATTTATTACTCATTTATTTATTTATTTTATATTTAATTAAACAAATAGAATGGAATTCTCATTTTATATTAGAAATATTCCAATAATAACTGAAATTCCTCATATGAATGCAGCCTATTTTGATTTACCTTTTCACCTTCTTCTAATAACCTTAAGACACTTTGGCTATCAGGAGTATCTTCCTGTTTTCTTCCATCCTGTTCAGTTCCTGCCTCTCCACTTGATTCTAGAAAATCTTGATCTTCTTCCCAATCACTATTGCTTCTACTTACTGGTGATCTCGATAATAAACAAGTTGTTCGTAAACCTTGAAAACCTACATTTAAGTAAATCTGATCAAGCTATGAACTAAATTGTTGAATATTCAAACAGTTTTAACTATTAATTTGTTACATTTTATTAATTTTAGAAAAAATTATACATACAAAAAAATTATACTAATTCAAATAGTTATTATTAATTCTATTATATGAGTGCATTATACTGATGATCTGCCAAATTATTAGGCTATAATAAGCAGCAGCATAGCTACATATTCAGTATCCTGGAGCAAGTAGAATCAATGCACTCCCCTCCCAGTTCCTTGGAAGAGGTCTTGCAAAATTTGTTTTGAACATTTAGTTTAAAAACATATACCTAATTATTCCAATTTAAAAACTTACTTAATAACAATTTATTTGAGATTCAAGGCATTTCAACAATGTGAGACCCGAAAGGCCCCTGGGTCTAAATTAATATTTTATTAATAATGTTAAAATAATGTCACCAAATATTACTTCATTTTTGGTGAGAAAAATACTGTTTTAACGTGGGAATAGGCAGATAACAGATGTCACTTCCTTTCACTGAAGTTAGTACATCCTCTGACTTTCCCTTATCTGGTTAAAATCCTGCTCAGATGGGAAATGGTTACCCCTCATTCATTCCCCTTTCATCCGTTCTCACGAAAGAGTTACTGGCCGATGATTGGTCGGTATTCCGAAGATATAAGGAAAATTAGTCCGAATTCGAGGAGTTCAGCGACAGTTCTGGAAGCGTCCAAACTCCATACGTTTTTCCTCCTGATGACCAACGCCCTTAAACGAGTCACTTAGGAAAAAGTCCCAAGTCTGCACATAGAAATTTTATCTTGGTTATGTGCACATATTGATCTCCCATACGAAGAAGTAAAGGAACTTTATCTACAAGGTGTCCCTTGCATACAGAGAAGAAGACGAACGACAACTAAACAGGTCGTATGTTTTATAATGATTTTGTGAGCTCTCTCTCTCGATCGCGAATAGGATATAATATAAGTTTAATTATCTCCTGATTTGTATATTAGTTGTAGTAGTTCTGTCTCTCGTTTATCCACATTTTGTATGAGTTTATTTTCTTGTTTTATTAAATGTATTATTTCGTTTCAACTAAAATGCCTCTTAATTGCGTGACCGAATCAGATCGCATACGCGTGTTAATCCACGTGTAAAACAATTGATTAACTGGTGTCAGCATCCTGACGTAGATCCAAATCGTGAGATTTGGATCATTATTAAAAGCCCTCCCGGTCAAACGAATCTTGACATAAGATCGGATCTCGCGATCCGAAACTTCGGAGACAGATTTTGGTTAATCTGTGCCGATTAAGTGTTACCCGAGCACTACTTACTCCGTAACCCCGGCTACTCTCACAACAATAAGATATTCAATTTAATATCAATTTAATAAGTACAAATATAATAATAAAACAAAATATCATTTTTAAGTATGGAGTACCTAATAATATTTACCATATATTATATAAACTGTATCGACAAAATGCATGCAAGTTTAGTTTCATAACAAATACATAACAATACATTAAAAAATATTCAAAATTGTTGTTTTTTTGCTTTTTCATCTGCAAATTAGTCAATCACTTTATCCAGATCAAGTTGACAAGCTATTGTTTTTTCAATTGATATAGTAGCCAAAGAACTAAGAATGTGACATGCTGCTTCTTAAAAAAGTTTTGNGAATTTATTTTCATTTTTTTATGAATAATTTATGTGAACTTTACCTTCAGTCATATCTAACATCCATTTATCTAGCGCTGATCCCACTGGTGGTCCCCAAACTGCTCTCTCTCTTGTTAGTTCAGATTCAGTTTGTAACCATTTATCAAACACATACTTTTGTAAATATTGCTGTCCCTTTGTTTGTAAATAAACGTTTTAGCAATATGCCATTAAAATTTAAATGTTTTCTTTATCTAAAATTAAATACCTGTTGATATTGCTTAGAATGTAATTCTACAAGATCTCGAACAATAGAAATATGCGTAAACGTCCATAATTCTAGATCCTATAATGGTTAATTTAAATAAAAATTAAATCAATCAAATATAAAATTATATTCTACATTTTAAATAAAATTTGTAATCTGAACCAAATTAATTTTTTCTATAAAAAATGCATAAGAAAAAATCTTATTAAAAAAATGCTATTTTTAAAACATAAAATCCTTATTTTGATATAAATTATAGTTTATAAATGTAACTTTAGAAAAAAAAACAAAAACTATAAGATAAATTCAAACACTAGAAAACAGAATCATTTCATTTTTATTAAATGTTGAATTGAAAAGTTCAAAAATATTTCAAACTTCTTTTGGGATGTATTATTAACCTGGAAATAACCTGGAAATGTATGTATCAAAATCAACTCTTCTTCAGATTCAAATATCTGAAGAAGAATTATAAAGTAACTTGAAAACATTTGTATGAAAATGAGTTTTCAATCAGTTCAAATGAGCATTTCTAGATAACAAATGTTTAATTTATACTCCTTTTTAATTTTTAAAATGATTTCACAGTGACATTTTGATGCAGCATTAATGAAAGAATTGTTGTACAGTTAATTGTTATAATTTGGCACTAGAGGTAGGCATTACTTCTAGTGCCAAATTACTTAGCAGTTAATTTAATAATAA